TTTTAAGTAGTGTCTCCAGAGCCGTCGTGTGTCCGGTAGACTAACAACAGGCAAGCTCCTACATTATGCATCTCTGAGAAAGTACGAGATTTCATTTCACAAAAGTATCTCCTGGTAAATACACAGGACGTTCATCATCCTCTATTTATAGATTATTATGTTTTTATTTAATAAGTGTGCAATCCTTTTTGAGACTAACCACATTGTTTAGCCATCAATAATCTTCTGTAAGGCTACATTAGAATTAGGTTTGACTATGAATGAGAGAAACTCAAAATAATACTGGCTGAAACAAGTCAGAAATTTATTTCCCTTTCACATACACGTCGGCAGTCCTGGGCCACATGGCAGTTTAGTCATCGGAGACCAGAGCCCTTTGACTTTGCTGCTCTATCAGCCTCGGTATACAGGTTTCAACTCCTGGGTGAAGGTGGCTGCTCCAGCTCCAGCCCCAGCTTTCACATCCTCAGTCCAGTCAGTAAGAAAGAGGAAAAAGGAAAAGAGCACTTTGCTTGTATTTAAGGAAACTTTTCAGAAGTTGTAAACACCTTCCCATTCATCGGCCCTTGGCCACGTGGAACAACTAGTCAAGGGAATGGTTGGAAGAGAGCCTTTGACCTGGGTGGCTATGAGCTCAGCTAAAAACTGGGGTCCTATTTCTGAGAAGAAGGAGTAAATACATTTGAGACGACTACGAGCAGCGTGTACTATTTTTTTGTCTTCCTGTCATTTAACTAGGTAACTAGGATCCAAGACTGAAAAAATGGTTACATGGCCCTACTGATGTCAAAATTATGCACTGAGATATTTTGATAATGCGTTGGCTAGTGTGAGACTATTTGCAAATTTTAGAAGCTATGTTGTCTTTGGGGATTGATTCCCAAATTAAAAAAATATATTAATGTTGCAAATAATTTACTCATAAAGGAGCAATAAAAATATTAATTGGCATAGGACACAAAATGAAAAAGTAGACAAATTGGATTTTATAAAAATTAAGAACTTCTGTGTATCAAAGGATACTATCAACAGGCTGAAGAGACAACCCATGGAACGGGAGAAAATTATTTATAAATCTTATATCGAGGAAGAAATTAATATAGAATATAAAAAGAACTCCTTCAACTCAGCAATAACAAAAGCCGATTTAAAAACGAGCAAAAGACATTCATTTAAAGAAAAGTACAGGGCAACTGTGTAGCTTGGTTGGTTAAGTGTCTGCTTTTGGGTCGGGTCATGATCCTGGAGCCTGGGATCGAGCCCCATGTCATCGGGCTCCTGGCTCAGTGCGGAGTCTGCTTCTCGCTCTCCCTCAGCCTCCGCCCTGCTTGTGCTGTGTCTCTCTCAAATAAATAAAACCCTAAAAAAAGAAAAAGATGAAGTACAAATGGCCAGTGAGCACGCGAAAAGATGCTCAACATCATTCATCATTAGGGAAATGCAAATCAAAACCACTTTCTCTCCATTTGGATAACTCGAATATACTATAAAACAGAAGACCAAAACTAGCAAGTGTTGGTGAGGATGTGGAGATGTTGGAGCTCTTGTGCATTGCTGGTGAGACTCTGGGAAAATGACACGGTGGTTTCTCAAAAAAGTAAAAATAGAATTAGCACATGATCCAGCAATTTCCCACCTGGGTATATACCTGAAAGAACTGAAAGCAGGGACTCCAAGAGATGTTGGTACACCCCTGTTCAGAGTGGTGGTATTTTCAGTAGCTAAAAGGTAGAAGCAACCCAAGTGACCATGAATGGATGAATGGATAAACGGAATCTGATAAACACACACACACTGGAATAGTATTCGCTCTTAAAAGAAAGACAGTTCTGATGCGTGTTACAATGGATGAACCTCGAAGACGTGCAAGTGAGACACCAGTCACAAAAGGACAAATGCCCGTGTGCTCCCCTTATACTGAGTCCCTGGAGTCAGCAGATTCCTAGAGAGGGCAGATGGTACTTGTAAGGGGCTGGGGGCGGGTGGGGTGAAGTTTGGGAAGATGAAAAAGTACTAGAGATGCTTGGTGGCACTGGCCACGTTACAGGGTGAATGCTCTCACTGTGCCTGGGCGCTTTAAAGTGGCTAAAATAACAGGGTTTATGTTATTTATCTTGGACCACAATAAAAAAAGGTTAAAATTCTTTGAAAATGTGGGTAGTTTTACACACATGCGCTTTTAGAATCAGACTTGAATCCATTGCCAGAGGGTTTTGGCCAAGAATCTTGATCCTATTTTGAAAAGAAATTCTTTTTTTTTTTTTTAAAGATGTTATTTATTCATGAGAGACACACAGAGAGAGGCAGAGACCCAGGCAGAGAGAGGAGCAGGCTCCATGCCCGATGTGGAACTTGATCCTGGGACCCCGGGGGTTACGCCCTGGGCCGAAGGCAGACGCTCAACCAGTGAGCCACTGAGGTGCCCCCTATTTTGAAATGCTATTAAAATATTTCAAAAACATATACAGAAATAGAGAATAACGTGTAAAGAACATTCCACTTCCCTTAACCCGTCTTTAACACCTCAATTTATAATAAGACTGTTTTTGTGAATGGTTATTCCACTGCCCCAATTGTTGAGCACCATTTGTAGGTACTGCCCCTTATTGCAAGGATTTGCAGAGCCAACGATGAACTTTTCACATCGGTAAGCTTTTTATACCAACATGCGTGTCCCAAGAAAAGCCTTAGAAAACCTGCCTCATCACAATCTCTGCAAAAGCAGCAGCATTGTATAGACCACAGGCAGAGACTTTTTCTGTTAAGAGCCAGACAATAAATATTTTAGGCTTTGTGGGGTCACATTGTTGAATAATTATTTTTCTTCAAATATCCCCATAAAAATTTAAAAAGCTTAGCTTGTGGGGCCATACAAAAAAGAGCTGTTTCTAGACTTGGCCCAGTGGCTGTAGTTTCCTGACCCTTAGTAGACCTTTGAGGTCCTTCTGGGGCCAACCCCCAGCAGGGGGGCAGTTGTGGGCAACTATATAATCATGGTCAACCAATCTTTGGCACGGCTGGCAACCTCTGTATGGGCTCAAATCAAATAAGCTAATTTCGAGCCTGATCATATAAATGCATGTGTATGAAATACTCACTTAAAAATGTTTAAACCATTTTCTGCTGTGGTAAAGTCTTACTGTGGCACTCATTTAGGTGGGATCCGATGTTGGCACTGGATTCCTGTTGGCCACTCTGAGAAGGAAGCATTTAGAAGGGAGCAACCAAGGAGAAACACAGTGGGTCCTAAGAGCGAGACACCTAGAATAATCTCGGTTCCTATCCTAGTATTTACGTACAAGGAACCCTCTTTTCTCGAAGAACTGCAAGTGATATGTTCCTCATAACCAGAAGAATCTACATCGCTCTCACTTACTGCAAATGTAAATTGGTACAAACACTTTGGAAGACAGTCTGGTAATATCTACAAAGTTGAATACGAGCACATCAATGACCCGGCAATTCCATGGTGCACTATTTTATCTAGAGAAATTCTTGTGTGTTTGTACCGGAAGCTACATGTAGAAGAATGCTCACAGCTTTGCCCGGCGGGTGCTATGGACCTGGTCAGATCTCAACTCTGCCACTTACACAGGTGTGTGACCACAGACGGAGAGCTTAGTTCTCTGTGCCTCATTGTCCTCATCTGTGGGAGAGGATAATTATTTATCACAAGGTTGTAGGGATTCAGCAAGTTAATTTATGTGAAATGCTGGGCATAAGTATAGCAAATGCTCTGCTAGTCCTGGCTGTTGTTGGAATTCATTGTTTGTAATAGGAAAAATTGAAAACAAACAAAAAAAAGTCCATCCAGAGAGGATGGATAAACAAACTCTGGTATATTCACTCTGGTATATGTATAAGGAATATTATACAGCCTAGGAGTGAAAAGAATGAACCAGAGCCATATATAGATTCAACAGGTATAACAACTTTAAGAGAAAGAGGCAGGCACAGAAGAGCACCAATCGCATACCCTCATGTTACAAAATAAGCAAAATTCAACTTACTATGTAGAGATACTTGCAAAAAAAATACACAGAGAAGCAAGGGAATGGGAAAGAAATGAAACTTAAGACAGTGGATAGGGAAACGGGACTTGGAAACACCTCCAGTATTTTGTAGACAAAATAGTGACATTTGTGGAAAAAAAAAAAAGGTTTATCAATTGAGTAGTAGGGTCCTGGGTATTGGTCTTATTATGCTACAAGTGGAGAGCAACAAATGTGAAGATGTGAACAAATGTGAACAAATGTGAAGATCAGTTTTAAATGTAAAGATAAGGGGCCCCTGGGTGGCTCAGTGGTTGAGCATCTGCCTTTGGCTCAGGTCATGATCCTGGGGTCCTAGGATCGAGTCCTACATCAGGCTCCCCACAGGGAGCCTGCTTCTCTCTCTGCCTGTGTCTCTGCCTCTCTCTCTGTCTCTCATGAATAAATAAATAAAATCTTAAAAAATAAATGTAAAGATAAAATGTACATGGATATGGACAGAACTTGAAAATCAGGAACTAAGAAACAAAACGAAGGAAATCACTGACACACTGTAGAGAGGTTCGTTAAGGAACTGAATTGGTTGAATATAGTTTGCTTTAGAAAACAGTTTGTTGATAAAAAATCTTCAGTGCCGGCATACTCCTGATTAAAATGTCTTCATAAACCCATAAATTCAAAGTCAGTGTGACCCGGGGGTTGGAATAACCAGCTTGAGCCACCCTGTACATGGTTAATGATACCAATACAACAAGCACTGAATTTATATGAGATTTACACACTCCCAGGAAAAACAAGCGTTCTGGGTAGAACTTGGGCAGGGAGCAGGTGTCAGGAAAACCTAACTAGCCAAATCGTTACAAGGTAAAATCACAAGAGAATAATTCTTCTCTAGAGACAAGGGTGGGGGACAGGTGGGGGGGGGTTATACCAGGAAATACCGCTGTGATATAAAAAAAAGAAGAATGAATTCTGGAGTGGAGTGATTATTTGGGTAGTAAGTTCGATTTACTTTCCCCAAGATTTAATTAAGCTGGTATATGGAGTATAGGAGTGGACATATCTTTGGACAGCTTCACTTCCAAAAGCCACCGCATACTTAGCTAGTTTCGCAGGCAACACTAAGTACACTGCCTTCTGGAGATCTTCGGGGGTGAGGGTACAGCGATTTCTGAAGCGCATCAGGCTGCAGGCTTCCATAGAAATGAGCTCAAAGATGTCATTGATCAGGGTGTTCATGATGTCCAAGGTGCGAGATGATATGCCCCTCTGGGGAACCACTTCCTTTAGGACCCTGCTTATGTAGAGTGAATAATTTCTATGGCCAGAATTGGTGCTGGAATGTGATTTCTTTCTGGAGATTGGGCTTTGATGTCCTCTGGTTTTTCTGGCGGTGGATCTGGCCATTGCAGATGTTGTTCCCCTTGGCAGTTACGAGTGGAGAGGAGAAGGGCCTAACAGTGGTGGCGGGGAGCTCTCATATTTATATTGGCATGCCACAATCAGCCTTTTGGGGCTTCTCTTTGATTGGAGGTTACCCTTCCTATGTCACAATCACCTAGCAACAGCACTCATTTGTTGTCAAGGGAAAATCTGGTTCTTGGCCAACCTAAAGCTTTCCTAAGAGGATAGAGTGTTGTAGAAGGATCGAGTTGGCTTCAAGGCAGAAGAGAGTGCTCATTTCTCCTACTCTATCTCTTGGCAGTTTTTGCAAGCATAACATACGATATTTTCAGAATTGGACAGATCTCATCAAATTGGCGAGTTGGTGGCGGGAACACAAAGGAAAATGTACCATGAGCCTTTTATGGGGGAACCTCTGTCTCTAAAAGTTTTCATGAAGTCATTTTATAAGCTTAGGAGCAATAAGCCATTAAAAAACTTGCAGTGATTGTTTTATAATACAAGTAAATATAGTTCATCGGCTTTTACAAATTAATTTAGAAATGAATCCTATTTAAAATAAATCTGAACCCCCAACTCCATATAAGCAACTATGTAAAAAAGGAGAGTAAAACAAAAACTGTCCAACTTTGCTGTCTAAATTACTATATGTGAGTCATGTGCATTAAGTTTTTATGACGATATTAATACCATTCTTGAAAATTTCACGTATTTCATTACATGGTTTGCTTTTTACCTGATACCATAGCTCATCTGTCACTATTAACCAGAAACGTGGGGTCACTCTTGCTCATATGTTGATATTCATGCTGAAAAAAAAAACAAAAAAACAAAAAATTAACTCCATTATCTTCTTAATCAAATTCTGTCCCTGGATAAAAATAAAAATAAACAGGAGTAACTAGAAAAATCCCAACTCCCAGGTATTTCAATAGTGCACAACTGCCACAGCTATGAACGCTACAGGGAAAAATTCTTCCCTGCAGGCGGCTTTACAGATAAGATAGGCCGGGCTGTGTGTCATTTCTGGAACGCTACATGTAATTCCTCCCTCTTTTCCGTCACTCCAGAAAGTAGATCTGAAATAAGGTGAGTAGGAAAAATGCTATTACAGGGAAAACTTTGAACAGGTTCTGATTTCTAAAGAGCACAGGCATCATTGGTGAATGTCCGGACTTTATTTATTCCTAGCCACACGCCTCAAACTCTGCGTCATCCTGAGTTGGAGGCTGCTGCTTCTAAGCACGCTTTGTGGTGATGGATCTTCAGTCAGCCCTTGCTAATTTTGCTTTCAGGATTTCTCCAGGTATAATTACTTCGTTAGCTTAATTACAGCATAGTTTTATTTGTGATCATTTAGCGGAAGCTATCAGGTGGAGAAGGTTCACTCCCTGTTCTTCACGTACCCAAGCTGAGGAGTGTAGTGTTCTTGGCCTGTGCTCCTGGGACAACCCTCCCTGGGGTCGCTGAGGTAGGGAGAAGGTAGGTAAGCCTGTGGCAGCCCCTTCTGGACTCTTGTTGGGACCTTGGCAGTGGGCAGCTCTGCTCCTGGGGTCGGGCCACCCTCACTAGCTGGCCTTAATGGAGGAGGTCATTTTGCTTACCTCAGAGGTGCTCTAAAAGAAAGCCTGTTGTTGCCCCACACGTAGGGGCAAAAGCTCAGCGGTCATAAAGCCGACATTTCGATCCTTGTCTTTCTAATCCCTATGACTCTCGATCGGTTGAGACTGCGTGGGGGAAAAGGGAGGGTGTGATGATACGTTACAGAAGCTAAAAGCAAAAGGCTTTCAAGACAAAATAAGCTGTATGCTAAGATACTGATGGTCAGGAAGTTGGGAAAATGAGGAATACTGATTCTACAAAATTTCTGGCTACTTTTGGGTTAACCCAAATTCCCCTTTTAAAATTTAATGATTCATTCTAAAATATGTATGAGCTCACCGCTGATATGTGGGTTTTTCTCTTCCTTCCCCCCGCTCCTCCTCCAGACAGTCTGGAACAAGGGACAGACACTGTTTAGCATAATGACCTTCAGGAGATGCCTGTTGGATTATCAGTTTGGACAATGGAGCAAATCTGATTATTTTGCATCCATCTACCCTGGGAATGAGCACTGGAAAGTCCTCCATCTGTCCTCTCTTCTCCTCTGCCCTGCCCCTCAAGGTCGTTGCCTTAGAACAAAACCTGATGTCCTTAGCAGGGGACACAGGAGAATGAAAGGAGTGAGGACCAATGTGCCAGAGGCCTGAGGTCTGTGGTCTCTGACCTGCTCTAGTGTAGCTGGAATTGAAAGTTAACAACTGGGGATCCCTGGGGGCTCAGTGGTTTAGCGCCTGCCTTTGGCCCAGGGCGTGATCCTGGAGTCCCAGGATCGAGTGCCGCATCGGGCTCCCTGCATGGAGCCTGCTTCTCCCTCCTCCTGTGTCTCTGCTTCTCTCTCTCTCTCTCTCTCTCTCTCTCTCTCTCTGTCTATCATAAATAAATCTTAAAAAAAAATTAACAACCATTTCATGAATTTTTCCCAGCTCTTGTTTTGCGCTTGATCACATTGTCCATCTGGGGCATGGGTTGTGTGTCTCCCATGAACAAACACGTGCACTCCTGGTAGGTCTGCAAGTACATATATTGTCTTGCAATTGCTTATTCTTCCCTTTATGGCTGAAGGCCTAGTCATGACTCAAGGTCATCACCAAGACTCTCACTGATTATTCCACAGGAGCTGTAGCAGAGGTGACACTAACTCGAAGCCAAAAACACGCCCTGGCAGGTGTGAGTGTACTCTGGGAACATTTTTACCTCCACTGTGTTAGTTTTCTGCTGCGGCTGTAACAAATCACCATAAATTGAATGGCTTCAAACAACACAAACGACCTTACAATTCTAGTGGTGGAATCAGTCTGAGTGGGTTTCACTGGGCTAACATCGAGAGTCAGCAGGGCTGGATTCCTTCTGAAGGCTCTAGGGGAAAATCTGTTTCCTTACCTCTTCCATCTCCTGGAGGCTACCTGTGTTTCTTGGCTTCTCCTCTACCTTGGAAGCCAGCAATAGATGATCAAGTTAACTCATGGTGTATCACTGACACAGAGTCCTGCCTCCCTCTCCACTTATAGGGACCCTTGTGATTACGTTGGGTCCACCTGGATAATCCAGGGTCTTCTCCACATCTCAATATCCTTAGTTTCATCTGCACATCCCATGTCGCTAGGTAAGGAATCTGGGAAATGCACGACTTTGAGGGCCACCATCAACAGGATGACATTGTCAGGGAAGCTCTGGGTCACTGACCATACAGATATTAGAGACAAATAATACTGCCCTTAGGAGATGGACCAAACATATGTTTTTAAAGATTTTATTTCTTCCTTCCTGAGAGTCACAGAGAGAGAGGCAGAGACCCAGGCAGAGGGAGAAGCAGACTCCCTGTGGAGAGCCCAATGTGGGACTTAATCCCAGGACCCCGGGGTCACACCTGGAGCCGAAGGCAGACGCTCAACTGCTGAGCCCCCCAGGAATTCCCATGAGAAATATATTAAAAATACTGTCGGGATGCCTGGGTGAGTAAAGATATGATTTTTTTGGTCTTGCTTTGTTCTTGCATGAGAATGGGAGACTATGGTCTCGAAGAGCCTGAGCTTGATTGGCTTGGCTTGGCTGGTGGTTTTCAGGCATGGGAGGATGTGTATTCTCCAGCAAGAGGCAAAGGAAACTTGTTGGTCAGGGGAGAACCAGGTTTCAGGTAAGGCTGTTATTTTCAAGCTTGGATGCACACTGAAGTCACCTGGGGAGATTATAACCAATGAGCCAAATATTCCAGGTCTAGACCCCAGTCCGAATGAAGCAGCTTCTACAGGGGTGAAGTTCAGACATTTTTTTTTAAGTTCTTTTAACGTACGGCCAGGGTTGAAACTCATACAATTCAACACCCCCCTACCCCTGAAATAATCACAATAAAAAATGGGTAGAGGACCTGGAAAGACATTTTTCCAAAGAAGATATCCAGATGGCCACCAGACACGTGCAAAGATGCTCATCATCAACGATGACCAGGGAAATGCAAATCAAAACCAAAATGAGGTGATACCTCCCACCTGTCAGTATCAAAAAAGATAAGGAATAACAAGTGTGGGGGAGGATGAGGAGAAGGGTCAATCCTTGTGCACTGTTTGTGGGAATTCTACAGCCACAGTAGAATGCACTATGGAGGTTCCTCAGAAAACTAAAAAGTACCACATGATCCAGCAATTTCACTTCTGGTATTTACCTGGGGAAAACACAAATACTAATTCAAAAGGATATACGCATCCCTATTTTTAAGCACAACATTTGTTTATAATAGCCAAGTTATGGAAGGAACTCAAGTGTCCAGTGATAGATGAGTGGATAAAGAAGATGTGAGAGAGAGACATGAGATATTATATATGTGGGATATATACATATCTCTCTCACACACACCCACACAGATATATGGGATATTATTCAGCCATAGAAAATGAGATCTTGCCATTCGCAGCAACATGGATGGACTAGAGTATATTATGATAAGTGAACTAAGTCAGAGAAAGACAAATATATGGTTTCGCTTATATGTGGAATGTAGAAAACAAAACAAATGAACAAACACAAAACAGAAACAGGCTCGTAAATACAGAGGACTGGTGGTTCCCAGAAGGGAAGCGGGTGGGAGAGGGATCAAGTGGATGAGGGCGGCTCAGAGATACGAAGCTCCGGTTCCATCCATAGAGAGGCACGGGGGACACAGCATCGTGATAACGTTGTGTGGACACACATGGTGTGGCGACACGTGCTGTGTGTGATGACACGTGCTGTGGCGAGTATTTGATAATGTGGAGAATTGCCCAGTCGCTGTGTTGTAGCCGGAACCTAACAACCATATACCAACTGGAAGGAAAGGTGGAGCAGGTGGGAGGAAGAGGCTGGAGGGGGACAGGTGAGTAGCAGGGGGAGTGGCAGAGAGAGGGTGGGCCGTGCTCTCTGGCCAAGGG